GAACTCAAAAAAACTAGACATCGATATACCAAATAATCCAATTAAAAATAAGGTACACATCTAAATAGAGTGTTCTTAACAGAAGAATCTCAAATGGCTGAAAGACAGTTAAGGAATAATTTCAAATTCCTTAGGCATCATGATAGAGCAAATGGCAATGACAATAGATGGCAATTCACACCTCTCAGAATGTCTAGGATCAAAACAGTGGCCACAGCTTATGTTGGGGAGCGTATGTGGAGTAAGGGGAGCACTCCTCCACTGCAGGCCAGAGTTCAAACTTGTGCAACCCCTCTGGAAATCAGTATGGCAGTGTATCTGGAAACTGGGAATTAACCACCTCAAGACCCAGCAGAAGACAGTTTCTTCATCAGGATCAAGAAGAAAATGAACAGCATCGTTAATGTAAGACTCTGCTCTGCACCCTAAGCATTTATTTCAGGGATGGTGTGTCAAAAGCATAATGGCGAAGGGTGGGAGGAACAAGCACACTAAGACAGTTTACAGGACCGCACACGGGGCAAACCACTGCTGCTGCAATCTTACCTTGTCCTATCCAGAAAGATTTGAAAATCCCTCTGTTGGGATCCTCAGAGCCCTGTGCTCAAGTGTAGTCACCGTATCCTGGGTGCAACCCACACTACAGAAAGACCACCGAGTATTTAGCTTACACAGTGCAGATGTTATGGTTTCTGTTTACCAAAGCCTCATGCTCATTGTTCAACAGACCACGGAGGACTTGCCAGCCGGCAGTGCCAATCAGCTCTGAAAGTGGCAAACTGCGCACCAACTGCCATACCCCTGCCCTGCTCTGACCCCTGCCACTCAATCTAGCTTGTACTTTCTTGATGAAAAGGCCACTCACTCACCGTCCAGATTTCTAGACTCACAGAGGAAAGATCTCAGGACTCCCAGGTGAGTTCCAAAGCCTGGGGAGACCTCTCTTAGCTTCCTGCAAACAACCTCTTGAGGAAAAAGAAAAAAATTGAAGTGTGAGCCAGGAGCAGAGAGATAATAATCTAGCAACTTTTTCCTAGTAGAGGCAGCCTAGGCCCCTCCTCTGAGAGACTGGGCTGGTACAAGCCGTCGTCCGGCTCCGCCCCTCAGCTTCTGTGACCAGTTAGAGTCTCCCATGCCGAGAGCACAACCTATAGGAGAGGCTGGAGGAGGAGCTCTTCTCTCTAAGCAAGTGGCCAAACCCTGGGGACTGGGACCCAGAGCTGGAGAGCCACAGCCTACTTTACCTCATCACTATGTCCCTGCAGGTAAGCCAGATCTGGGAAGGCTTTGCAGGAACAACTCTCCAAGGAGTGCTCTGATGGAGCGAGAGGAGGCATGACGGCTCTGGGGCAGGGCAGAGGCAAGTGGAGCGCTCAGGGGCGCCCAGCTGTGACCCTGCAGTCACTCCCCACACCTGCCTAAGTGTCTTGTTATTTCACCTTAGACTGCACTGCGCCATCTGTTGACAAGGACCCAGGTTCTCCATAGCAACCCCTCTGGGCTCCAGGGATGGTTTAAGTTACACAGACCTGAAAAATTGACAAGCTTCCCTCCTTCACCTCTCTCTCAACAACTCGGGCAAGCAGGTGACATCCACAGGGGTCTCAAGTCCCCTTGCTCTTGGGACCTCCAGAGGTTCTCATAGGCAAGGGTTTGGTGGCTGGCATGGCCTTGGCATGGCTAGTTCCTCTATGAAGTATAACCTACCGTTTTATTGACAGAAGTGGAGAGAATACAGATGAATAAATTAAAAACCAGGAGAGCCTTCCCCTAGTAGACAGCCACATGGTAGGTTGCTTTCTTAGGTCTTTTTTCCATTTGTGTGATTATAGGTATGTGAGCATTATACATTCACGATTTGCTTATGTAGCGGTTACCTTAGGAACACTTCCTCACTATGTCACCTTCTAAGATGCACATTGTTAATGCTTACCATATTCTATCATGAGTATAGCCAACTTCTTTAACTATTTCTTCAGGCAGGATGATATCACGGCTGAATGACATTCCCCAGAGACATTGTGGTTTGCATCTCCCTCTTAGACTGTGACATGTTAATTCTCCCTCCCTCTCTCCCTCCCTCCCTCCCTCCCTCCCTCCCTCCCTCCCCCCTCTCTCCCTCCTCCCTCTCTTTCTCCCTCCCTCCCTCCCTCCCTCCCTCCCTCCCCCCCCCCTCTCTCTCTGTGTGTGTGTGTGTGTTTGTACACCTCAGTTATCGTCTTCTCTCAGAGCAGAGGAGTGGGGCCAGGTGCCTTCTGGCAAACTTGGTTATGTGAATTCAACCCTTGGCACCCATGTAGTTGACAGAGAACTGACTGTTGTCTTTGTTCCCTAAGCTGCACATCCACACCATGGTCCCTGTGCATGCGCACTCACAAAACAGGTGTTGGTGGCCTGTGCCTTTAATCCAAGCACTCAGGAGGCAGAGGCAGGTGGATCTCAGTGAGTTCAAGGCCATCCTGGTCTACAAATCGAGTTCCAGGAGAGCCAAGAGTGTTATGCAGTAATCCTGTCATCAAAAACAAAAACAAAAAAGAAGGAAACAAAGATTCTAGTTTTAAAACACATGCTTACTTGATATCAGCATCAGTATGATCAAAGAATGCTTGAATTATAGCCACTGCAATTGTTTATACTTGAATAAAGTATTACAGATGAACTTTTGTTAAAACGTATGCTTATTATTTCAATTTGAAATCCTTACAAATGTAATAATATAACAATAAATACAATACGTTCTGGGGGAGAGCGGTAGTTCAAGCCGGGTGTAGTAGTACACACCTCTACTCACAGCACTCAGGACTTGGAGACAGAAGGATCAGGAATCAACATCCATGCTTCGCTACACAGCAGCTTCAAAGCTACACTGTACTAATGAGGCCCTGTCTCAGAACAAAACACACACCAAAACAAAGTAGTTTGAGCAGAAAAGAAAGATGAAGGCAGGTGGGAAGTCCATTTAAGAAATAAAGGGGATTTGGCTTGTGTGGTTCAATTGGTAGGGCACTTAGTATGCGGGAGGTCCCTGGAGTCATTTGCCACCACTAGAAAAACTGAAGGGGGGTGGGATGTTTTAAGCCTGGATGTTCTGGGATAGCCTGGGCTTAACACACATGCACACACACACACACACACACACACACACACACCAGTCTATACTGTTAGTTCATTTGCACACTGAGAGAACGGGAAGTAAGGACTTGTTACAAAGACGATACCCAGGAAAACCTGGCAGGTAATAAAGATGTGGTATTTTTATGAATTGTATTTGGTCTAAAATTATTTCAAAAATCAAAATTGTAAATAAAGTAAACAATATACTGAAAAGCCAACATCTAGTAGCTGGTTAGCATATTTAAAGCTCTTCTCTCTTCAAAATGGAAATGGAAGAAGATAGACATTATGTGCCTCCTGGTAGCTGTTAGTGGCTCACTAGTTGAAGGGACAGTGAGGGTGCATTCACTATTGTTCTAGAAGTGAAAACACGGATGGAATTCCTAATTCAGTTATAATCTCCCAATTTTATATGTAAATTGTAATATAGGCCTTTTGTTTATTTTATTTAACTCAGGCTAGCCTCAACCTTTGCCTGATCCTACTGCCTCAGCTTCTCTGTTGCTAGGATTACAGGTGTTGCTTCCACACCTGGCGGGACTGTCACCTTACTCAGACGTTTCCTTGCTCGAAGATGGCGCTAAGGCAGTGGCCTGGGTGTTGTGTGTTTTCTGGGCAGTAGATGCAGCTCAATAGTAAAAAGCTTGCCAGAGACCCTAGGTTTGATTCCAAGACACAACAAAAAATGGTGGGGCAGCAGGGGAGTGGTGATGTTTACACCCAGAACACACACACACACACACACACACACACACACACACACACACTTGTGTGACTCAAATAACTGAGGGATTTATCTTCCTCATGCAGTCCTTCATCAAGGGAGACTTGCTCAAAGGGATTTACCAGGCTGATATGTAAGCTGACTGCTCAGTTCACTCTCTACAAAAGTGAAGGGAGGCAAACTGTGAGCCCCCTTCAGAGGCTGTCTTCAGAGGGGTGAGCTTTGAATGGAAGGATCCAGAGGCCACAGGGTCATTCTTTGAGATTCTGTCCTGTGCCCATTATGGGAATCATCACAACCACAGGAAGGGTGGGGACAAGAGGGCATTGGAGCACACTCGTGACTAGAAGAGGGGCATTGTTCGCAAGTGAGAGGAATCACAACGACACACATTCAATAAGAATGCGGGACACTCACATAGCCAAAATAGAGACGCCAGCCACACAGAGTCCAGCTCCCTGGGCATGGGAACATAAGGAGTGTGCCATTACCTTTGCCCAGAATGCTTTGAAATTCACTGCCAATGGCAACACATAAAGATATATCACTGTGGTAATATTCTGATCCACCCACCAGGATCTAATAATGGTCTGTGATCAGGTTCTTGCCAACAGTCAGCAGACAAGGGTAAAGAGTTGTGTCTGCCCTTTATTGTGGATGATCAGGGGAACAAACTGATGTGATTCGGCCCACCCTTTATGTTCGACCCTGGTGAATTCTGTCTGGATGGTCAGGACTGCCTTTGCCAGCTCTTGTCTTCTCACTGGATTCCTGTGCACCCTTTCCCAGGAGTCACTGCAAGCACCAGCCTCTGAGGCAGGCTCCTCCAGATGTGTTTCCCGGTAGCTATAGTCCGGCTCTGTGCTCACACCAATGACTGCTAACCAACTTTTTTCTTTCTAAAGTGATTGCTCTTCAGCATTTGTTATAGAGGGAGGGAGGAGAGCAGAGAGGGGAGGAGAGGGAGATATTGCAAAACAAATTTTTCCTCGTGATAAGACACATTTGCCACTCAAACCAATGTAAGCTAAACAGCTTTACTGGAAGACAGTTGGCATGAGACTTACAATAAAACAATTAGATTTCATGTGCATGTCTTACTTGCAGGTGTGTATACACACCACATATGCACGTTTTGTGTTCTTGTTGTCTTTTGTCTTAGGCTAATTTTGAGCAGGCCGCACAAGACGTGAGGAAGCTGAAAAGAAGACCGGAAGATGAAGAACTCAAAGAACTCTACGGGCTGTACAAACAGTCCATCCTCGGAGATATCAACATTGGTGGTACCTGGTGCTTGTTTTAGACAAATAGATGGGCTTGCTTGAGTGTCTGTAGAAGTGTACAGTGAAAAGTAACATTGCAACTCTCTCCTCCTCTTGACAGCATGTCCAGTAATGTTAGATATGAAGGGCAAGGCCAAGTGGGAAGCATGGAGCCTCCAAAAAGGTTTTTAACTCTTAAATAAGATAAAAAAAAACCCTTCTTAATCTCGACTTACACAAGTCAGTTAGATAACGTGTTTTTATCTCTCTAGGTTTGTCGAAGGAAGATGCCATGAGTGCCTATATTTCTAAAGCAAGAGAGCTGATCGAGAAATACGGAATTTAGAACTTGACAGGGGAGACAGATCTCCTTTGAAAGCTTTCATAATAGCCACATGGTGTGTAGGGGGAAATGCATTGACAACTGTATAAATCTTGTGTATTTTCCTAATAGCATGCATTCTAATACTTTGGACTATGTCAACATAATTACCTAATTTTACTTGCTTGTGAAAGGTGACTTTAAAAAGTCATTTTGTAGTCTGCATATAAACTTAAATAAATATCTGTTTCCTTTTTGCGTTTAAGTCTGTGTATGGGTGTTCATATGTGTGTGTTACACATCATGTATGCGCGCATGTGGAGTCCAGAGAATCACCTTGGCTGTTATTCTAAGATATGTTATTTGCTTCCTGTGAGGCAGGGTCTCTCCTTGCTTGGAGCTCAACAAGTATGCTCGACTGACTGCCCCAGATATCCTCTTCCCTCTGCCTCCCCAGGACTGGGGTTACAATGTGTTCCATCATGATTGGCGATCTGGGGCTTGAACTCAGGTCCTCATGTTTATAAGGCAAGCACTTTAGTGACTGAACCATCTCCCAGCCTCAGTGTTTGTTTTCTTGACTTAATCTGTTCATATACGATGAGTTAGTGCTACTGGGCAAAAAGAAAAGTTTGCTCAGAATGAATAGCAGGCAGACTATTCTGGATGCTTCAGGAAGTGGAACCAGGAGAGTCATGGGTTAAGAACAACCTAACTACATGAGACCCTGTGTCAAAACTGGAAAGCCTAATACTGAAGGAGAAGGTGAGTAGGTTGGAGAAACAGAACAGTTCAGTTCCTTTGCTGCACCGTGTACTGCGGGCTCCATGAATGTGGGCACTCTGGAGTGATGGGTGGATTTGCCTCCTGGCCACTTCCTGGCTTCCTATATGATATGGACAAGTGACCTAACCAGGCTGTGGTTTGGCTGCCCATGGAAGGGCTCTGAGTGCCCGCCAATCACTGCCGGGGCAGCAGGAACACAGGACAGCTGGGTTGTAAGCACCCCGAGGTCTTCCTATCACGATGGACAGTAATTGTTTAGTATTGTATTTTCTTAAAAAGCTCTTTCTTATGCAGTAGGTCTAGTGTATATTTCTATAGATTCTATAGACTACATTACAACTTGAGTCACAGTGTGGTGATGGAGAAATGATCAATACCTTCTGTCCATCACTCTTGCCCCTAGAATAATGCAAGAGGCTTCAGGTGTAACCCCACCTGAAGTGAAGACACTTTGTTGATAAAACTTTATATAAAAGTCAATCAAATTAGATTTTAATTAAAGGATAAAGGACACTAGCAGAAGTTTTCTTCCTCTAACAATATTTTTATTTATCCTTTGAACTTTGCCTAAATGCATACATGTGTTTTGATCATATCCACCCGTCACTGGCCTTTCCAACCCGCCCCCCACGGATGTCCTTCAATGTGTACCCCTCCCAATTCTGTGCCGCTCTTCTCATTTTCTTTGTAAACAGCGCACTGAGTCCAATTCGAGCTGCCTGCTGTGCCACCAGGGAGCACACGGAGCATGAGTAACCGACCAGTGGGGTGCACACGGAGCATGAGTCACCGACCAGTGGGTTCCCAGGGAGCATGAGTAACCCACCAGTGGGAGAACACGGAGCATGAGTAACCGATCAGTGGGTGCACAGGGAGCATGAGTAACCGACCAGTGGGTGCACAGGGAGCATGAGTAACCGACCAGTGGGTGCACAGGGAGCATGAGTAATTGACCAGTGGGAGAACACGGAGCATGAGTAACCGACCAGTGGGTGCACCCAGAGCATGAGTAACCGACCAGTGGGTTCCCAGGGAGCATGAGTAACCCACCAGTGGGTGCCCAGGGAGCATGAGTAATTGACCAGTGGGTGCATAGGGAGCATGAGTAACTGACCAGTGGGTGCACACGGAGCATGAATAACTGACCAGTGGGTGCACACGGAGCATGAGTAACCGACCAGTGGTTGCACAGGAAGCATGAGTAACTGACCAGTGGGTTCCCAGGGAGCATGAGTAATCCACCAGTGGGAGAACACGGAGCATGAGTAACTGACCAGTGGGTGCACACGGAGCATGAGTAACCGACCAGTGGGTGCACAGGGAGCATGAGTAATTGACTAGTGGGTGCACAGGGAGCATGAGTAACTGACCAGTGGGTGCACACGGAGCATGAATAATTGACCAGTGGGAGCACAGGGAGCATAAGTAACCAACCAGTGGGTACACATGGAGCAGGAGTAACCGACTACTGGCCACATCCCCCAAAGAAAAGCAGCCCCTTCCTTCTGCAGCTGTCAGCTACAGCAGCTCCTCAGCTTCCTGACCCTTAGCATTAGCCATTTCCCAAGATAGAGAGATGCTCCATGAAGAAATCCATCAATGTGCACCTTCCAATCTCTGGACACTAAAGTGCTCCATCTCAGGAGCTAGAAGGACAGCTTGTGATTGGTTTGCATATTGAAGGCCCATCTAAAAGCAAGCAAGTAACGACACTTCCAAACACTTGGTTATATAGTTCTTGATGAAGTTCTCGTTGTTAGGTTCCAACAGATAAAAGTGGTCACCTGGCAGCATGTGGCTGTCAACCTTCCCGCTGGTTATGTCTTCCCAACCTAAGGAATATACAGCATTGTATTTAGTAACCAATGGCATCAGCCAATGACAGCAGAAGACATACTTCCAGGTACTATTTCACTAAAAGCTGACACTCAGTGATAGAGTTACCTCCAGGGTCTCAGGTTCTGTGTATCCCGTGTTTTTTGTTTCTTTAAGAGCTGCCAGAATTCAGTGGTGTGACCCGTATCTTAAATTTTACAAGAGACCAGCATCTCTTTGTTCACACACAGGAAATCTTAGGCTGATTTTCTATGCGTTTCAGTGAATGTTAGCTGACATATGCCGAGAACCCTCCAACACATCTTTCAAGAAAATACCCCGAAATATAAAAGCAATTTCACCTTTTATGTCCTTTACTGTATCTTCAGATCCAAAAAAGCATGTTATGTCCTGAGAAAGAAGAGCCTCCGAGGGCGTGTCAAAGCTGTAAATGTGAAAAGGCTGTTTGTAATTTCATTTTTTTTTTTTTTTTTGGTTTTTCCAGACAGGGTTTCTATGTGGGTTTGGAGCCTGCCCTGGAACTAGCTCTTGCAAACCAGGCTGGTCTCGAACTCACAGAGGTCCGCCTGCCTCTGCCTCCCAAGTGCTGGGATTAAAGGCATGTGCCACCACCGCCCGGCTTGTAATTTCATTTTAACATCCCAGTCTTCTCCTCTTCCCGACTTCACTGAAAGGAAGCAGGGTATACAGCCTTGCTTCTTCCTTTTCTTTGGCTGGTCCCAACAAGGAAGATAATCACAGGGACTGCCTCTCTCCATTAGAACAGACATGAAGTTCATGGGGAAGGAGACAGAGCTGGGAGAAGTCACAGGCTTTGATCTCTCCCAGCTGAAAGTGGGCTAATGGTCTGCACCTTGGTGATGGAGATGGAAAGGGCTGAGAGATGCCTGTGGGCCTCGTGTGATATATTTTAAGAAGCTGAGAGCTAAGGAGTGGGGAGGGCAGGGCAGATTTGGAACCAGGAAGGAAGGAAGGGAGATGAGAGAAGATTCAAGAGCAGATTGGAAAGCGCCTTTGGAGTGTGGAGGAAGCTAACTGTGAGGAGACAGCCCAGTGTGAGTCCCTGAGAAGAGTGTGAATGTTGAGGGCACTTCTCACGTGCAGAGGGCCATCCCTGGGTGACTCTATGTTTGTGCTACTCAGGCTACTTGGAGTGAAAAAGGTCAATGGGTGCCATGCTTGTTGTATATTCCTTTCAAAGTGACTTTTTCTGGGGCTGTGGAGATGGCTCCACAGTTTCTGCTCTTGCAGAGGACCCAGGGTTTGGTTCCTGGTGCCCACCTGATAGCTGGAAACTTGTCTGTGTCTTCACTTTCAGGGGAACCAATGCCCTCTTCGGGTTTCCTCAGGCACTGCATGTATATGACACTTAGATCCATGCAGACAGAAGACCCACACACATACAATAAATCTTTAATGTGACTTTGGGTAAGAAATGGGCTAAACCTAGCGTGATATCATTTAATCATTATAACCCCATAAGGTGTTACTAACGTTTCACTGCATAGAAGAAACCCAAACTCGTAAATGCATATGCTCAAAATCTCACAGCTGCTAACAACCTGGATAGAAAATTTATTTTAAAAGATGGGCTCTGAGGAGGGCATGTTTGTCCACTGAGTACATTTTCATTATGAAGGCTAGTTTTTCATACATAATTTCATTAAATTTACATGATGATATAAACCTGGAAACAACTGAGATGCCCTTCAATGGAAGAATGGATGAAGAAAGTATGGAATATATACACATTAGAGTACTACTCAGCAGTAAAAAACAAGGACTTCTTGAATTTTGCATACAAATGGACGGAAATAGAAAACACTATCCTGAGTGAGGTAAGCCAGACCCAAAAAGAGGAACATGGGATGTACTCACTCATATTTGGTTTCTAGCCATAAATAAAGGACATTGAGCCTATAATTCGTGATCCTAGAGAAGCTAAATAAGAAGGTGAACCCAAAGAAAAACATATAAGCATTCTCCTGAATATTAACCTTCATCAGGCGATGAGAGGAGACAGAGACAGAGACCCACAATGGAGCACCAGACTGAAATATCATGGTCCAAATCAGGAGCAGAAGGAGAGAGAACACGAGCAAGGAAGTCAGGACCGGGAGGGGTGCACCCACACACTGAGACAATGAGGATGTTCTATCGGGAATGCACCAAGGCCAGCTGGCCCAGGTCTGAAAAAGCATGGGATAAAACCGGACTCACTGAACATAGCAGACAATGAGGACTACTGAGAACTCAAGAACAATGGCACTGGGTTTTTGATCCTACTGCACGTACTTGCTTCGTTTGAGCCTAGGCAGTTTGGATGCTCACCTTACTAGACCTGGATGGAGGTGGGTGGTCCTTGGACTTCCCACAGGGCAGGGAACCCTGATTGCTCTTTGGGCTGACGAGGGAGGGGGATTTGATCAGAGGAGGGGGAGGGAAATGGGAGGTGGTGGCGGGGAGGAGGCAGAAATCTTTAATAAATAAATGCTAAAAAATATTTAATATATGAACATAAAAAAATAAATTGTTTCTCAATTAAAAATTATTTGTGCCTAGGCATAATCCCAGCAGTCAGGCTGCTGAGGCAGGA